CTTTTTTTTGAATATTTTCTTTTGGGGAGTCGACTCCCAAACCAGTCGAAGGTTTGGGGCTTCGACTCCCAAAATTTGGGGATTCCGGGGCTTAGGAGTCGGCTCTCCATTTTTTGGGAGTCGTTTAACCAAGCCCCTTTTTATATGTTTATATGAGTGAAGTAAAGTAAATGTTGCTATGGAAAAGACTGAGAGAAAACTGATGATAAAGTATGAACTATTCAAAGTGTCTTTGCCCTGGGGAGTGATAACCACACTCCACCCCCCTTTGCACACACACTCCAACACTCCCTTCTCTGAAGGGAGTGTGGGTTTCAGCCTGCTACTAATCAGAGCCAGCCTGAACATAGCATTTACTTATTTAGAGATATTATTACTTACATATGTACAGTGCCTAGACAGTGAAAAGTGGCTGCTTATTTTGGATTCCAGAGCTCTGAAACACAAGCTTGAATTCATGAGACTGGGTCAGGTAGTGCATAATAGGTCCCAAAAAATGAATATGAAATAATAAAAGCAAAAAATAAAGTTTGAAAATTTGTGAAAAATAAAAAATAAACCCAATTTTTTTCAAAAGCTTTAATATTCATTTTGAGGGAGTGAGAGTGCTGAGAGAAAGAAAGAATGAAAAATGGGAAGAATGATTATAAATGAAAAAAATTGGAACCAAAAAAGGTTTAGCCAGGTTGGTGGTCCAGATTGGAGCCAAAACAGTAAATTCTAGTGCTTTGCTGCAATGTGGGCTGGTGAATGCACCACTCAACAGCTGTTTGAAGCCATCTGGAAACCAAATTTTCCAAAATTTTCATTTATAATCATTCTTCTAATATCCCAATCTTTCTTTCTCTCAGCACTCCCACTCCCCCAAAATGAATATCAAAGCTTTTGAAAAAAATCAATTTTATGTTTTATTTTTCACAAATTTTGAAACTTTATTTTTTGCTTTTATTATTTCATATTCATTTTTTGGGACCTATTATGCACCACCTGACCAAGTCTCATGATTTCAAATTTGTGTTTTGGAGCTCTGGAATCCAAAATAAGCAGCCACTTTTCACTGTCTAGGCACTGTACATACAATTAAAATATTAAAATACACTATTTAAATAAGTTGAAACACTATAATAGAGACATTATTACACAGTACACTTACATTGTAAATATTTCATGAGAAAAACATTTAAATAATTTAATAAACTATGGAAAATAACACTTTTAACCAGAATCTATTAATAAATTCTGAACCTTAAGTATAACTCAGAATAATATTGCAGATTCTGAATCTAAATGCAAAATAACCTAGGGTAGCTCACCAAGTGTACCCCTGAATTATTACTCCTTCACTTACTTTGTAGTCCTTGAGTGATATTGGACCAAAATACACTGTAGACCCCTCCAGTTACATCATACTAGAGATTGTTTGTTCGGACCTGTTGGGGGGTACCTGCCACACTTCAAAACACTCCCTCCACACCCTCAGACACCACTGATGCTTCCAGAGGGTTCAGTAATGATGAAGGTTTAGTACTGCCCCCTCCCCACTCCCCGATATAGTGGCTGTTGATGTGGAGGGCTTGATCTGAAGTGTGGCAGGTACCCCCCAACAGGTCCAAACAAACGATCTCTACATCATACTACATGTTGTAAGGGGGCTACATGTGTATATTAAGGTTCATGCAGTTCAGGAAAAATCTACAAGCAAGGTTTACATCATTGAAACCTTAACTACATGAGCACAGACTACAGTATTAAATTGTTTTGGATGATCTGTGGCCCTTTTTGGCCCAATTGGGACAATTACTCTCTTGAGGATCAACACATGCATCATGCAGTGATGACATAGGCTACAGGAGTGTTACAGTTTCGTCAGAACACCCTGTAAACATGGTTAAAAGCATTACATCATCCCCTTGACACCTGTAACCAAGCTCTACAGGTGCTACAGATGATCAAAAGCTCCCATAGGCTTAGTAGGAGAGTTGTAGCAACTAGAGAGACTCCTGAGTTCGCCTCCAGAGGCCCAGAATGAGTATTTAAGAGCCCCTTCTTCCCCCTGAACTTGGAATCCCCATCTTCATCATTACTTACCAGCATAAACCATAACCAACAACCAGTTTCAACCTGCCTTTTGGCCCAGTTCCTGCTGTTACTAGTGAAAAAACCGCGGCGTGGGCGCCGCGGGTAACTTAAGAATATGGTTACTTTGAAAAATGGTATAGAAGCACTTACAGTGCTGTTACAATTCTTCCTTTGCATTTTACGAACACACTGAGAATGAAAAAAGAGAAATACCTTACTGCTGATTCGAAGTATTGTCATGAGATTTGTGATACATGAATTTGATTTTGGCATGTGCATGATTCTGTATTGATAGATGGGATTCCGTGAGCATTAGTTGGACTTTGGATGAGTTGAAAAATTGAGTGCGTACTCATGTGTTTGTCTGTCAACATTCATCTTTTTTAATGACACTGCAGCAGAAAATTCTTGCTGATTACTGCTGTTGCCTGTTGACAATAGCCATTGATAAAATTGGGAATTCTCCCAAGATGATGTTTTTTTTGTTGTTGTTCTGTAGTCAAAGATTTTTGTACACATAATGAAAACATCACAACATGCTACCTGTGCAGTGAGCTTATCTTGCAAGGAGAATTCTTCCCATATGAATCTGATAAATTGAGATTCAAATGAGTGATGCTACTTGCCATGAATTACCTCTTGTTGGTCTGCTGCAACTGCCTGAGAATGTCAAGGTTGACAACATCGAGTGTTGTGAGCAAGTCCAGATTGAGGTTGTGGAGGAAGATAGGGACCGCCATGTGTTGTCATTGACTGAGATGAGTTGATCAGGGGATGTGTGTCATCCTGCGCCAGCGGTGGGATGGGTAGATCAAATGGTGCTGATTTACTGATCATAAGTGTGAGAAATATATTGAATGTTGGACTGAATGAGCAATGACATCGCTCGGGTTTCCTGAATTGATGAGGTGGGACCTCCGTGTTGCCATGTTGATGCGGATGATCAGTAGCATTGAATCGAGATGAGCATAGGGTACCGCGCGACGTTGGTTATCATGCCTGGTGGGCTGGGCAATCCTTGCGAGCAGACTGGAACGCTGCCTAGGTGGACTTCAACAGGTATAAAAAGAAGCGACTATGGCGTTCCCTCCCATCGCTACTGATTTGACAGCACAAATCAGCATCGGCGACCTAGCCTATTTACTGGCATGGCAGCCTAACAAACATTAAATTCTTGCAATGGCATGATGGATTCAGATGAGTGGCAACCTCTAATGATGAAGTCAATTGCGAAACGCTTGGCTTGAAAGCCTGAATAATGGTTTTGTGCTAAATTATCTGGAATGACTGGATGAGTAGCAAGCTCATCCTAGTCGCATGGCTCCTGGCAGCTTCGCTGCCAGCGGCATTCGGCCGGAATTACTTGTTGCAAAGGGGTGGGGGCCTTCGGCCCAAGCCTTCGGCAATCCAGCCCTGCTTTGCAGGGATAGTTGCGGCACCAAGAACCCAGGTCGACTGAGAAACATAGGTTTTAAATCAACCTGAACTTCAACCTTTCAACCCAACACCTGTTCCCCAGCACTCTCCCAATACCTCTCACTCACCTTTCTGAGCGCTTCAAGAACATCCCCCCTCTCCTGAAGACCTCCTTGGATTAGAGATAAGTACCAGTAAGTATTATCTCTTTTATTCTTCAGTAGTAGACTTTTTCTGGGTTTACTCCTTTATTATAAAGGACCAGAACTTCATTACCACCCCTGAAACTCAGGATCTGAATTAGAGGGCACAGTAAAAAACCCCTGCAACTCAGGCCCCTCTGTAAATAAAAACTTAACAGTTTTTATTTACTATTTTCTTTTATTTTACACACACTTCCCCCACTTTTCACATGTCACCCACACGTGTACACATCCCATTTTTACTCTTGCAGCTAGTGTAGCTATAAGAGTTCTGCTCTTGGCATCACTTAGCCTGACAGCAGCAGTGGGCCAGCTACGCTGACTTTAGCGTCAGCAAAGCGTAGTGCAGCGAAATACCGCTAACACTACGGATGTTTTCCGTTAGCTGTTAGCGGTATCACGCTATTGCTGACGGCCATGGGGCAAAATATGATGCCACTACGCAGCGTTACACCCCTTTTTAGCGGGTTTTTCCCCAAAAAGCGGCGTAACGCGGCGTAGTGTTAGCGTAGCGCCGCTAACAGCCCGCTAACGCTACAGAATCAGGAGGAGCTTTCCGGGGTCGCTACGCTGCTGCTAGGGGGTCGTTTAGCGTAGTTCAGCGTAGCGGCCCACCATTGCTGACAGTGGGACCGCACTCTAATCAAAATTGGAGTGCGGGTCCACACTCCAACAATCTGCAGGGGCAGTCCCCCAGCAGGTTGGAGTGCAGACCTGCACTCCAATTTTGATTGGAGTGTGGGCCCACACTCCCCTCAGAAGGGGAGTGTGGGAGTTTGGATGTGTACTTTTATATACATACTGGGCTATCCCATAGGACCTACCTCGTCCAAGCGGAAGGGCTTCCTTCCGCTGGACGAGGTACGGACGATCAAGTACACCTGGCCAGACACCCCGCTCTGGATCCGGACCACCCATCGCATAGGCGAACAGTTCTGGGCTGCTCATGATTGGCAGGCCGGACTCAAACATGGCCTCGAAAAGGGCTTCGTTAACTTCTTCCCCGACCTCACACAGCCGGGAGGGGTTCCTATGTGAAATTCATGTGGCAGGGGGTTTGTGGGGATTCATGATGAATGTCTGTGACTTTTTTATTCAGAGGATATACTCAAGACTGCGGGGAATTTGTCTCTAATCACGTCCGACATGGTTGATATGGAACAAATCAAAACTTTCCAACTGACGGAAAGGTTAACCGGCAATCACACGCTACTACCGCACTTGGCCAGCTTTTTTGCCCCTGGGAGATTGGCATATATTTGACTTCGAGCGGCATTACAACAGACTTGGGCTATGCAAAAGATGACACAGATGAAAGACACTTGGATCCCTCAGGCCTTCGACAATAGTAACAACGTGTATACGGCCTACACCCATCTCTGCGACGCATACGAGAACATGGGTGGGAAGTTGGGCGACAACTCAGCATTGGAACCTGGCGTGATGTCGTTAATCCAGTATTTCATCGGTGCTCTGGCCGGTTTGGCCTACCTTTCTGGTGGCTGCATTCCAAAACCCAAGCAGACAAAGATTAATGTGTACCGCACCAAGCACCACCTTCAACATGTCAAGATGCTTGCGAATCTCATGATTTTTGGTCCAACTGCAGCCTTCACTGCTTATTGCACCGGGCCTCACGTTACTCTTTCGAATGCTCTTTCTTTGTTGGAGGTTGGTGCTAGTCTGCTCAAACAAAAAGTTGATCACGGAATCACGGCCCCGATGCCTCACGCAATTTTGGACAACCTTTGGCTTTATTTCTTGAAATTTCTCATCAAGATGGGTTTCACAAATCTCAACGACGAAGGGGTCCCACAGGTGAATTGGAAGGACGTGCACCAGGCGTTCTACCATGAGTTTGCAACACATGTGATAACACACATGTTTGCACAAGACATAGAAATTGCTTTGGCTGAGAAGGGTTTTGGAGTTGATTAATTGCATTGAAAATGCCTTGACTTTGGTTCCTGATATGTGTTGTGTGCTTGTTTCCTCTCTGATATAATGATATTATATATGATCAGCATGGTTTAGAGATTGTTCCGCGGTACCCTTTGCTAGGTACCTAGTACCGCTTGGGGGGTACCCTTCACACCCGCCCCGCACCCGTCGGGAGGTGCCAGGTGCGGTACTTGGTACCTATTTTTGTGAAACATTGAACAGGTACCTAGGTACCGCTACAGGTACCCCCTCACTTCCCTACCAAAATGACGGTGTCCTTCTACTCCAAGAACTCCAAGAAGGTACCTTGGCTAAATGGAAACAGGGACTCAAAGATAACAAGAAGTCTAACCAAAAATCAAAAAGGAAGGTGATAGTTTTGGAAAATGATGAAGATTCTTCTAATTAGATATAATTTGTAGACAGTTTAAGCTTTAAAATAAAATATTAAATGTGAACAAATGAAAAAATTGACTTGCAGGGATTGATGTTTTACAATAAATATGAAAAAAGGCAAGATTCTTCCCATTAGATGTAGATACTTGACAACAAATATGAAAAAAATGCCAAAAAAGTGACTTGAGTAATATTTTACAATAAATATGAAAATAATAATAATAATGAAGTAAGGTTCTTCCAATTAGTTTAAGATGTCTTACAACAAGTATGACAAAAGGAAAAACAGTGACTTGGGAATGATATTTTCAATAAATATGAAATTATAATAACAAAGTAGGATTCTTCCAATTTGTTGTCAACATTTCACAATAAATGTGAAAGAATGGAAAAAAAGTGACTTGGGACTGATATTTTACAATAAATATGAAAAAAAATAATAATAAAAAAGTGACTTGGTAATCTGAAAGTGAACCTAGGTTAGAAAGAGAGGGGAGGTACCCGCGGTACCTGCCAAAAGTACCGCCGGTACCCGCCGGGAGGTGCCTGGTGCAGTACTTGGTACCTATTTTTTAAAAAAAATCAACAGGTACCTAGGTACCAACAGGTACCCGAGTACGAACGAACGATCTCTAGCATGGTTACAAGGAGCTTTGTGTGGAATGATGAGCTTATGTGAACACGGTTTGTTTCCCTTGGATTTAACACATGATTAGTCTCCTGGTTTCCCTTTGTATTTGGATAATATGATTGCTCAAATGAGTGTGCACTGAATTGGACTACAATTGACATACAATTGTGGTTTTAATGGGGGCACAATCAGTAGTAGGGATACAACTCACGATGAGGCCCTATCAAGGAATGGCTTTCTGTGTTTCTCTCATTGGGGACCAAATGAGCGGAGAGTTGAGACTCCGGGCAATGTGGATAATTACTTGCTTGTCTATCTGTGGGGATGAGTTATTCACAATAGATTTCATAAAATATTCATATAATGAGATATGAAGCGTTCATTGCTGAATAAGCTGGTTGTATAGGTCTATATTATGTTGAATGGCAGTCAACCATTGAGCCATGGACGCATTTTCCAGGCGCGTGCGCAATTGGAATGACAGAGGAGGGATAGGGATGAGACCGCGCTTGGGGATAACTAACTCCCAATGGTTGCCCCGTGTGAAGGCTATTAGTATGGGCCCCATTGGTTTAGGGTCTGGGTCTTTTGAGCTGGGTAAGTTAGTGATACACCCAATGTTTACATCGGCTGAGAGGAAGACAATGGGCCTGTTGTATGCGTTTGCCAGCACAGGTCCCATGTCCAGGCGTTCCATCCACTTGGAATATGGGACTGATGTCGAGTTGGGATCGACCACAAGGGATTCACAGGCCCTCTTTGTTAGAATAAGCATCAGCTATATATTTTAGGGAAAAGAATGACTAGACCAGGATTCAAACCTGGGACCTCAGCATTAGCTAAGTCACTTTACTAGGAGTGATGCCTTTACCACTAGGCTATCCAGTCTTGTCCAGGATGTTGATTTATATGGTATGATTCCTATGTGTTAGTGTCATCAACTTGATTGTGTACATGAATTGATTCTATTCATGACATATGATTTTTATGATGTATGATGACACAGGTTGACACAATGGATTTGTATTTCAACACTCTTGTATTCGTCGTTGCTCCCGAACCTCCTTGTCCAATGCGCTTTGTTGTTGTCGAGCTCGTTGATCAGATCCTGGCGGACCTGATACCACCCGTTGGTCTTTGCGTACAAGCTCTCGGGCTTCTCAAGTGCCATATGGCGCGCCACGCAAGAGTAACCGCAGTTGCCATCGCCAGGTGGATCATATACCGATTGGACATGTTTTTGCACCCAGGCAGGGAGCTCATTATGGGCCGCCTCCTTCAATTGATGTATAATAATAGGAAGGTCAGTAAATCTGCTGCAGTCGGTGCAGTCGGAAGAGGGAGGAGTTGAACCAGGCAATCTGCCTTACCATTGCTTTGGGTGCAGTCACCAGGGGTGCTTGAGGGGGTGGCCCATGGTCGGTCACAATTCCTTGGGCTGCCTGTGGGATCAATAAGCATCTGATCAGTCAGTGTCATAGGGGCCCTGCCGGTCTGGTAGCTCACCTGGGGTCCCACATCGTTTGGGGTTCCTGTCTCCCCATTTGCGGCTGTGCCATTATCACCACCATTCTCTGGTGTGACCCCGGTAGGTGGAGGCAACCATATCTTCTTGGGCCTGATGCGTTTGGGTTTGGTGGGGATTGCCTTACATGCCTACAAAATTACACAATCTCAGCTTGCTGTGGGTGGGTAATTCATATCAACCGTGACTCACATTGGTTGTCTCCTCCCCCAAGCATGTACCTTCTTCAGGCCACGTGCGGAACTGGGGTCCATGCCCCCGGGTGATTGGTGCCGGCGGTCTGCGAGCTTGTGCCACGGGGGCCGCGGGCGGGGCCATCACGCTGTCATGACCTGGGCCTACCTGAGGGGACGACTGGATATGGAATGGTGAAGATGTCAACAACTTCATCTTGTTTTGCACTGATGCTTTTTCAAGGCCACTTACAGGTGACGGTATTGGTTGTTCTTCGGGGTTCGGCTGTGTGTCAGCTACTGTATCGAAGTGCTTTGGGGCATTCACATGCTCTGATTTTGCAAGCTAGACACATTGAGACACATGAGCCTTCTAGTTGGTGATATGTTTTCCATGTGAGTGGAAATGGAATTGCTTACCTCAGCTAACACTTCTTCAAGACCTGATGGCAATTCAGCATCCTCAGGGGTATCGGGAACTCCCCCTGCGGGTGGTGAATCCGTTGGTGTGCCTGCTCTTGAGCACCCATGCACATCTGGCGAACCCGCTGCGGTCAGAGGCCTGGAGGTGCATTCCCCGTCTGACCCACCTGAGCTTTCTTTATCAGCATTCTCAGAATCATCTGCAGAGCTGGATGAGTCCCCTGAATCGCTAGACTCCGCCAAGTTGACCTTCTTTCTTGCTTGGGTTGATCGTAAAGGCAGCTTCCTCTTCTTCGTGAGCTGATCAGGTTCATCACCAATTTCATCACAGGATGTTGCATCTGATGACAAAGTATTTGACTTTGTCGTAGCCTTTGGCTTGCCCTTAATTTTCACCTTCTTAGCCCTTGCCGCCTTTTTCTTTGCCTGAGCCTCGTTAACTTGGGCCTCCACCACCTCGGCATGGATTGCGTCCCGTTCGGCTGCTCGCACGTAACCTCGTTTGCGCTTTTTCTTGGCTCCCTTGCGGTTGTTTCTTATGATGGGTGCCTCACCCAGGGGCACAACAACTGTGTTAGTCTGCACCTGGCGCAGCTTGGCCATAAGACCAGGGAGATCTTGAGGCCTCACGTCGGCCAGAATCTCCTCTTTCATGGCCGCATAGTCCTCGTGAAAGTCATAAGGAGGCTCCGCATTCTGGGCCAGGCAGGGAGAATCGTCAGAACCCAAGACGACAGCAATCAGGTGTTCGCAAATGATCACTCACCGGATCATCAGGGGTATAATATAATTTCCACTGATCGTGAATATTTGTTGTTTCAACAACACCACTGTCTTCCAAGATATCGGCCAACATGTGCCAGCAAGGGATACCCATTGTGGCCCACAAGCTACCAGTGCACTCGTCAAGATCCACCCCCTTGGCCGCTGAGTCCCGATTCTTCAGGTACAGGTCCCGCTGCCACTCAAGCATGACAATTGCATGAATTGAGACCTTAGTGTTAAGCGGACGGAAGGTTTCCGGCAGACCGGATTTCCCCTTCTGCTTCTCGTTCGATATCTGTGTCACAACACTTGTGACCTGGTAGTCCACTGTCTGAGCAATTTTCTCGAACACAGTCGCGAAGTCCGTCTTGTGGGAGGTCACGTGTTTTTTCAGCCAACTGTGCGCAGACTCCCCTCGAGCGGTCGTGTGATTGCCTAAATGCGCGGTCTGCCCTATCCAAGGTCTCATGAACAACTCCCGATCAAGAATGATGTTCTTGATCAGGTAATCCAGGACCGAGGCGCGATCGGCTAGATACATTTGAAGCTTGCCCCAGGCGTCGTCATAAGCGTCCTCATCCTTTGAATACATTACCGAGTTCCACTTCTTCTTGAACACCTCATATTTCGCAGGATCAGCTGCAAACGCGGGGTAACAAGCCGCACAGATGTTCTGATCAATGTGCCACAAGCAGACATTGTTCACGGCGTCAGGGAAGTGCACCGCAATCGCGTTTCTTAAGGCCTTCTCGCAATCAGTTACAATCACCTTGGGTGATCTTTTGGGTGCCCACACGTCCCTGTGAAATACCACAATTGAACCACCATCAATCGGTCTGTCTGATCTGAGAACTGGAGCCAATGAGAAACCTGATCAACTCACTTCAACTTCTTCAACACCCATGAATATGCTACCACGGACTCGTGCCTCATGAAGCAAAAACCAATCGAGAACGTCCTGTTGGTTGCGGACTGACCTACCACGTGCAAGAGAGGGTAGTTGTTGACGTTTGTTTTGTAAGTACAATCCATCAAGACCAAATGATGGAAAGTTCGCGCAAGTTACAGAGATCCAGGATGAGCAAACCACACGTATAGAGGTTGGCCATTCTCATCATAAGCCTCGTCGTGTATCCAGTTGGATTCGCTGAGGCACCGAAGGAGATACTGCATTGGGGTCTCGCCTTTCCGCTTTCCTCGTTTTTCCGCAGCAGTTGCATTGTAAACTGTCCTACACGTGACATGGCAACCAGACCTTTGGGAGAGCATCATTGCCACTGCTCTTGGCTTCATACCCAATGATGCCATACGTAACGCCTCTGTCTCAAGCGCCGGATCAACCTGTTGATTGAGAACCTCATATTGAGTCTCCATTGGGCCGTGATTATGAGACAAGTCTTCCGCGATTCGAATTTCCCAAGGTTCATTTGGGCGGTCTTTGCTTGTCGGTTTGTGAGCAGAGATCCTGAATCTACATCCGATACGTTTGTTCCGAGACAACCGCTGTCGATTCGTATCGGGCTTGTTTCTATCCTCTCCTGCCAACGAGCATTTCAAGTACCCATTCTTCCCTGTCTTTGAGCTGCCTGTTACGAGTTTATACTCATGTGCCCGTGCCCACATCTTGGCAAACCTCTTCAGGTCCTTGTACTCGTGGAATCTGTATAGAGGGGGGGATCCATCGGATCTTCAAGGCACAGAGGTCAACATCACGCCATTGACAGATTATTAGTTAAGTAACCTCTCTCACTTACTTCCCACACTGAAGTCAAAATTGTCCACATCAAGTGAAGTCATGACACCACCACTGGGCGGAACCCCTTCAGCAGGGACCCCCTCAGCTTCAGCGGTGACCCCTTGAGCAGGGGCCCCTTCGGCGCTTGATACTTCGGTATTATTGAGTTCCATCCCTGATGGTGGGGTCTCTGGACCCTCATCTCTTACAGGGCCGGCCCCTATTATAAACAGGCCACGTAAGATTAGTCAAAACCATGTTGCACATGATACGAGCACAGAAGTTCATCAAATAAACACCCACCTTCCACATCTACCAAACCATCCCCCATCTCAAGATCAAGCTGCATGGAAATCTGTTGATCAACAGCCAAATCAGGCTTAACCGGCAAAGTGCTCTCGACCGGGGTACTCCCAGAGGGGGGCAACAGCCACAAAAAGCAGTGCCTTCCAAAGGCAAGGGCTCAATTTTGGCTGGACCGTGCGGTAGGAATGACGATTTCAGCTCGTGGAAATTGGTGCTGTCTTCGATCCCCAAGTCCCAACCCAAAAGACCCCCCTTTCCCTTGGCTCATGGAACTGAGGCACCTCTTTGGACACAGGATTGTGCGTGTAGATTTTGAGTTCCTTGGGCACGGGATCGGGTAAGTCCATTTTTAGTTGACCATCTGGGCGCTCGCAGGTCTGGACAGATCCATTGGAGTTTACCCCCCTAGTCAATGGCTGGCGAGCGGCAGATGTGGTGCTGGCGTGATCAGATGTGGCGGCTGGACTGGGGCGGGAACCATAATTTACTGGTGGATGGGGCCCATTTGTCTGGATTGGCCAATGGGTCGGCTCCGAGTGACCAGGAAAGAAGATCTGTTGAGAGGGGAGGGGGGCGTATATCGGCATTGACGGATGGTGATAGTATGGGGGGCCAGGTTGGCCCATGGGGGGGAAGTGTGATTGTGGAGCCGCAGAGTAGGGGTAATGAGGTTGGCCAGTGTATACCGGGCCCGAGTGTTGGTAGGAAGTTGGTGCCACGTAGCTCATCGGCGCAGAGTAACTCATATATTGTGGGGGGCCAGAGTAGGTCATTGGATGATGGCTGGAATGGGCCAACATCGGCTGCCACAAGTGGTTTCCAGACATTGCCCCAGGGTGAGCTTGGAACACAGGGGTGTCTTGCCGCCCATCATGTGCTTGAGCCCAAGAGGGGTCTCTTTGCCTAGAGGGATGGTGAGGTGGGGGGCCCTCGAGATTGGGCGGGAGGGAGGTCAAGTGTCCTCAGTGGCCTGCCGGGATTGGGTGGTTTGAGGACTTGTCAGACATATCTTGATGAATCTGAACCAAAAGGCATAATTAGATAAGTAACCACCAATATGTCAGCCTTGTGGTGACCATGAGGGGGCAAAGTCCGCAAGCCAACATACCCACAAAAATTGGGTGATTGTGATGAATCGTCACTGGATCGTGTGGAAGGGGTTAGACCTGGATTGTAGGAGAAACAACATTTGGGGTCAGTCCAAGAATTCAATAAGGGCAGGGGCAGTCCAGGACCCCCCTCTCCGACTGATCCCATTGGGCTGTGGGGCACAAATGGGCCATTGCAGTGTCTGAGCACAAGGCTGCACAGGCCCAAAAGGGGGTCTCCAATGGGTTTTTGGCTGTTGAAGACCCCAAACAAACACCAGAAGTGGATAGACCCACAAGAGTCCTAGAGGTGGATTGCAAAAGAGGTCCTTTGGTCACAGACACCTTAATTGGGGGCAGATTCCCCCCAACAGGGATAATTGGCCACATGGGCCCCTCCAAACCAGCTGCATGGCTAGCCAAGGGGCAGAATTTGGCCTGTTGGGGCAGAATTTGGCCCCTTGTGGGGCCTTTTGGCCAAAAGAGCCCCCCCCCCCCCTCAAAAAAATTGGCCCCTTTATGGGGGACAGAGACGCCAAAAAAAAGTCTTGTTGTTCAAGGGGCTGAATTTGGCCCCTTGTGGGGCCTTTTGGCCAAGAAGAGGCCCAAAGAGAGGACAAATTAGGCCCCTTTAGGGGGCAAAGAGCCCCCAAGTAACTTCATGACGGCCAAGGGGGGGGCCTTTTGGCCAAGAGAGACCCACAAAAAAAATTTGGCCCCCTTAGGGGGATGGAGACCCAAAAATAATTGATCCTTACAAATTTTCAACCCAGGTGGCAATTGTTCGGGGCCGGATCGGATTGGATCGGATCGGTCCGGATCGGTTGAAATAAGGGCGTGCGGGGGGTCTGGTGTCTTGATGGGGTCGTCGGGGGTTCCTGTGTGCTCACGGGGTGTTTGTCCGGGGCTCGATCGGGCTCGGTGGCCGGTGGTTGGTTGGTCAGGTGGTCGGTCGGCTGGGTGAGATGGTGGTTAAGGATAGGAAAGGGAGGGCGGAGCTCGGAGGCGACCATCCGAGCTGAGGATAGAACCCCGGGCGCGGGGCTGGACCGGAACCCCGCCCCCGGTCGCATTTACTCGTGTAGGACCCAGGCCTGGGTCCTACACGGATGTTCAAGGCCGCCCGTCAAAGGTTTTAAACCTTGAACAATGGCCAATCAAGGTTAAAACCATGATCGGTCATTGTCCAAGGTTTAAAACCTTGGACCAATGACAGTGGCCAACCCATACAACCCAGGGCTGGGTCGTATGGGTTGGCCTGGGGCCTAAACGCATATGTATATGCGTTTAGGCCCCTGCAGCTTTGGTGTGCGGCCTCGCACGCCAAACACCTTTGGCGTGCAGGCCTGAACGCCAACCTGCAGGGTATATCCCTGCAGGTCATTGGCGTGCGGCCCCGCACGCCATTGACGGGCTGGCGTGCAGGCGCGCACGCCAATCTGCAGCTGGCGTGCGGATTGGCGTGCGCGAGGGGGGTTGGCTTGCGATTATCAACCCCCGTTATGGCTTTAAAGTTGGTTTTTCCAACTTGATCGGAGCTTGTTTGCAGCTATGGGAAAGCTTTCATGCATTTTGAATATGCATGGAGCACTTGTTCCCAGGATTAGTGGGGTCTGGATTTATACCTGACCAGCTCCAAATGGAGATCTGAGTCAAGTTGATCCTGTCCTAATCTGGACCGGTGCGGTTTCGAGGCTGGACTAAGTGCCTTAATCTGCGCTAAGTTAACAACTGATGCGGATGCTCTCAATTGTTTGATTGATTAATCAATCAATTGATCATTAATTGATTGATTGATTAATTGATCAATCAATTGGCCGATTAATTGGTCAATCAATTTTGTCAATGATCAGACAATCAATTAGACACTCAAAAGGGTATCAGGGAAGGACTGAAGTGTAGCAGCAGAGAGAGGAAAGGAGGAGGGTAGCTTAAAACAAAGAGGGTAGCTGGGATGGACGGTAGTGGTTCACATATCAAATCATAGGGTAGTGAAAAAAGATGATCACTTACCTGTTTGTGATACTTGTTTTGCCTAGGGTTGTCAATCAAAGAGGGTAGCAGGATGGTGATGAGGGAGGTGATGTAGTAAGCTGAGGGTTCATGGAATTCAGTGAGGAGTTGTCAAGTGTTGAGATTTTGAAGTCGTGGAAGACAGAAAAAAAAAATCCGGAAGGGGGCTCAAATTTGAGTGGCCCCCATTTCCAACAGAGAAAAGAAAATCAATATTAGTTGAGGGAATTTGATGTCTGCCCCTTGATCAGGCACTACTCTCAGGGTAGCACTAGTCATGTGGTCAAGGAGGAGCCCAAGCAGTCCACCTAGACCATTTGAGCCTGGGTCTCAATAGTGAAAACAGGACACAAGAATAAGGGGGGCACTTTTATATGTATTTCTTAATAGAAGAGAGATACAAATAAAAGTAAGAGAAAGGGAAAGGGAAGAAAGATAGAAATGACTAATATTTTTATTCTTTTATTTCTTTTATGATGATTATTAAACTTTGGCAGTCTTACTTTCCTTTAAGGATGGCTGGTTGTAAGCGGAGCTAACTCTACGCCTCCAAATCAACAGAAACTGAAATGGGTTATTGACACTGATGAATCAGGTCAACCACAATTTTTTAGATCAAAGATGATCAAGGTTCTTTAAAGGGAAACCTAGGTAGTTTTCTAGATACACTACCAAACAGGAGGAATAGAATTTATAGCAGCTATGGCTTGCTTGCTGGGATCAGGGCTTTGGTTATGAGAAGAAGTGAAAAAGTGGTGAGGGGAACAGAGAAGTGAAACAAGCAGGAAGATGCTAGCTAAGACTTATGAGGAGTTACTTACTAATGACACCAATGACACTTGGTAGTGGGAAAGGTGGGAAAAGTGGAGTACTTCTGTTGGATAAGTGTTGGCTTGATCTGGTTCTGGTTGTTGGTGTTCTGAGTTGGTCTGGAGTCTGAAAATCCTCTGGAAGTGGAATCAAAAAGCTCAGAGAGGATTTTCAAAGTTGGATTATGTAATCTGGCATGTACATGTGGTAGAGGGAGCTGAAACCTAAAGGTTGGAATAATTCTTGGAGTACTGTGAATTATTACAAAGTCAATGAAGGAATGGAGTTGGGTAAAAGTGATCAGTGGTGACTAGGGTTAATTTTACACCAGGAATCCATTTCTGAAGTCAGAAAGGTAAAAAGTCTTAAGATAAAAAAGATAAGATAATGTTTGGAATAGAAATGGGCAGTTTGGGCAGTCTTTTGGCCAGCTTGGCTGGCTCTAAGGCTGACAGAACACATGCCAGTGCAATCCTTTTGTGTCATGGTTTCAATTCCTACTGGGCACATCAATTTTTCTGAGTTACCAGTTACACTATGCTACATGCGTAGTGTCAGCCTCTGGGTAACTAACCTGAGTATTTAATAGTAAAAAGGTTTTTACTATGAGTTGACTGAAGTTTTTTGAGCGTGGTGAGTGTTAGGTAGTGGGTGATTAATACCAGTCCTGTAATGAGGAGGTTTCACTCTATCAGTATGGTCTTTACTGAGAGGCTTGCTATCAACAGTGCATCCGGATCAATACAAGGTATTAATAGGCATCCAGGGTACTGAGACTCACCTGGGATTGATTTGGTTATTCCCCAAAGGGAATGGGCTAACAATACTTATTAAGCTTTAACAAAATTAGTTGAAGATTAACAGGTATTGTTAATGGGAATATTCAGCAAGGCTATGAATATTGTGGATAAGTTGAGTAAGAGTACTGAAGCTTAAGAACAATAAATGTAGACTAGATTTATGTTGGTTACGTGTACTGTATCAATATAAATGTTAACTGTTTTAACTGGTGTCTGAATATTCTGGGGATTAATCAGTGAAAGAGGCATGGATTATAAGTTCCAGAATACTGAAGGAGGGAAAGAATGAGCGCTCAGAATCAAGGGAGCTTTGG